ATTTGATCATTCAGCTTTCTTCATCGTAATTTTATTTCGTCTATACCCATTAGATTGTCATAGCCACCCCTGGGCGACTCCTTGAGATCTTGAGGCAGAAAGCAGTGACACTGGACACAGTGAAGGTCGTGGTGGTTGATGAGGTAGGACAAACACACTGCAGTTCATATTTTCTTTGCTGTCAGCAGTGAAAAAAATGTGGTTTATTTTAGAACAAAGTGCCTATAAGGTTGAATGAGTGGGTTTAATTTTAGTGTCAGTACTTTTCTCCAATGAAACATATCTATCAAAGAGTAATGTTATATGATGCACTCTGTATCCAACATTCAGTTCATCATCCTCCAGAAAACCTTCATTTGTGGTGATGCAGCAGCAGTTTTGTTTGATTTTGCAGGAATGAAAATGTTGACATAAAACGGCTCTGATTACTTAATTAGACTTGAGTCACATCATATCCCAAAAAAATGCTGTAACATTTAATATTTCACACAATAGTGGTTATGAAAATCCCAAAATGTTCCCCTTACACGCTGTTTAGAATGTAGCAGCCTTTGACCCTGCAGATTGGTTATGAGTATTTGCTGTGTATCCTGTAGGTGGACACTATGTTGAAGATGGGCTTCCAGCAGCAGGTGCTGGAGGTTCTGGAACAAGTCCCAGAAGAGCACCAGACTCTGCTGGCTTCGGCCACTATCCCAAAGGGGACAGAGGAGCTGGCTGCTCGTCTAGTCCGCGACCCCGTGCGTATTGTCATCGGAGAGAAGAACCAGCCCTGTGCAAACGTCAGGCAGATCCTGCTTTGGGTAGAGGAACCCTCCAAGAAGAAGAAGCTGTTTGAGATTCTTAATGTGGGTTGTGACCTCTTGAGGTTGTTTTAATCACAATTCACCTAAGTGTTGCTAAGAGATTGTTTCTCCTTAAGCTTTGGTCAGCAAGTCTGGTTCTCAGTAGCAAGATTTTGGGTGGAGTATCACTAAGCCCTGCACTTCCACTTCCAAACTTTGCTTTCTTTACTGGTCAGCAGTTTTTGCAGTCTAATTGCACACTGGAGAACCAGGAAAGTGTTCTGCTAGGGACAAGGACAGAAAGTGGGTTATATTCATATGTTGACTATAGTGGCTTTATCACTAAGCTTCACATGCAGCAGTACCAGCTCAGTACTTTATTAACTGGTTGTGTAAAGCTGGGAATTCCTCAAGCTCCATGGTCCGGTCTCCCCACTACACCATATTTAGACAGCCATTGCTGCCGCCCTGGCCCCGGTCTGGAGGAAATGGGTGGGCCGTGAGCCATGGCACCACTCCAGGAATCCCAGCAATGGCTTGTACCATTAACACCGCACAGCACAGCAAGAATCTGCTTTACCTAACCCAGTGAAGAAGTGTTTTTAGAGAAACGGGGGAGACCTCTTTTGTGGAGAGGGGCGGTTTTTCTTTTTTATTCATGACTGCTGTTATTTAATCCAGCACTGTCACTGAACAGTGATATAATGGGTGTGTGCTGCAGGATTCCTGTAGGATCACTGGGCTGTTACTGAATTTGGAAGGGACACCCAGTGAAAACCAAAACCCAAAAGTGGACAGTACCCAGGAATCCCCAGGCAGCTGAAAATGTACTTAAACTAAAGTCAGAGAGTCAGTGTGTTCCCACAAATTGGAGCCAAATCAATAGGCTAAGAGATAAAAGCAGATTGATGCAAGAGCGTCATTATTTTATCCTACCGTCCTACAGGCAAGTTATTAGTTAACAAGGGAAATAGCTTGGATTGTGAAAAAAATGACAGAAAAAGTCTAATTTCATAGCATTTCTTTAGGCTTTGAAAGGCCATCTTGTCATGATCAAGGTCAAATAAATGCAATTAAATGTTTTCCCTAAAACATCAGCTTCAAATTTAATTTGATGGTTCATTGACTTAAAATAGAAAGAATGTTTCATTCCCACTCCTCACCCTCTCACTGTTCGTGCTCTATGTAACTTTGGTGAGTGGGTACGATCTACAGTGAGAAGTGCGAAACCGAGTCAGAATCAAGCCCAGGAAGTTCAAGACCAATGCTGAATTGCAGTTAAAAAGACGTAGATGTCATTTATAGCCAGCGTTTATCTCCATTACTTAGCAAGGGAACTTAATATATCAATACATTTAATGCCGTATGCTGAAACAGCTTTATGAAGAAATATGAAACTTTTATTTTTTTTTAAATGTCTGTGTTTTTCCTCGTGGCTCTGCAGGACAGTAAGCTGTACCATCCTCCTGTGGTGGTGTTTGTCGACTGTAAACTGGGGGCCGATCTGCTGTGCGAGGCTGTCACCAAGGTGATGGACCTCAAAACAGTGGCAATCCACTCTGACAAGAGCCAATGGGAACGTAACCGCATCCTCAGGGTGAGTCCGATGGCAGCCAGAACATGCACAGTCAAGTGAATAAACAGTAGTGCTCCTGTGTTGCTGCTGAATTACTTGTAGCTGAACACAACAGCCAAACTAACCAGTACTGTCAGTACAATGAATGTGCAAGGATTTAAATATTATGTTAATGTTGAAAGATTAATTCGCTCAGCCTGCTATTCTAAAGGAAAAGGTCAGACAAGCTCTTATTTCAAATCTACTGTCGAAACACTAACTCTTAAATAAAACACAGGGATTAGACAAGTCCCAGCATGATCCAGATTCAATTTTGGAGCCACTCAAAAGCAGATCATATTGCATATTGATGAAAATGTGTTAATTCCCAACATTCACAGTCTGTGTAGAGTGTTGGTGCTGAGAATGTCTGACTGTGTATTATTGTCTTCAGGGTCTTCTGGATGGAGACTTTGAGGTGGTGATCAGCACCGGAGTGTTGGGAAGAGGACTGGACCTGGTCAACGTCAGATTGGTGGTGAACTTTGACATGCCAAACACAATGGACGAGTATGTCCATCAGGTTAGTAAAGCCTGATGTGAGAAAGATGTCATCTTTGCAGCAGCATTTTATTGTTTCTCCAATGCACTTCTATTTTATTTCAGAATATGGTCTTACAACTCAATCGTTCATTTCATTAATGCCTGATACATAACATGGCAAGCAAACTAAAATATTCTATTCAAACTTCTATTTCTTTCCATCCAGGTGGGCAGAGCAGGTCGACTGGGACACAGGGGAACCGCCATTACTTTTCTCAACAACAACAACAAGCGGCTCTTCCTAGAGGTGGTGAACCGGGTCAAACCCACAGGGTCCATCCTGCCCCCACAGCTCCTAAACTCCCCCTACCTCCACGAGCAGCAGAGGAGGGAAAGACATAAGAACAAACAGAGGCCTGAGGACACGCTGGTCACTAAGAACAACCTCATCGACATCATCAGGAAACACGACCGGCGCAAGAAGTAACTGTAGATGGTGCTGTCTATTTATTAAAGAAAGGCTAAATGTTTATTTTGTATATTTTTATTCGAAAAAATAAATTAAATTTGTATGTCATCAATAGTTTAAGAGAATGTGTTCAACATAAAGAGTTTATATGGGGGAATTTTATTTTAGTGAAACAAGTTCTGAAAAAAAAAAAAGTGTTTCTGTTTTTAAAGAGCAGATGTTGATATCAAAACCTCAATGATTTCTAGTCATTGGTGGATTACTGAATGGACTGCGGGGCTACTGGACCAAATGGCTGTAACCATCCCTTGCAAAAACTTCAGTAAAAAAATGCAGACAACTGCAAACATTCAAAAAGGGACAAAAATGACTTTAACAGGCATGCAGTGACCATAGAGACATAAAACATGGATAGAAAATGACTAAAGAAACAAAGGGAGAGTATAAAGATCCAAAAACCACACGAAGATGAACAAAACAGAAATATCCCTCTATGAAGAAGGGATCAGGAGCCTTTCTCTTGCCTGTACCCATTGACTCATTGTCTCACAATACGTCTGTGTCTGGTTGAAAGTGATCTTTGATTCCAAGATAAAACATAACTTTTTGATATTTAAAAGTGATCAAATATCAAATACTATACAAATATCAATTTCTCACGCTTTTTTCTCCAACCCAAGACTCAAATCGGTTTTAAAGCAATTTGTGGCTAATCTTTTGTTATTGCTGAACATATTTCACTGTCTTAGTTCAGTTTTTGTGGAAACTATGTAGTTCACATCACTTTTCAGAGTGACCATAGAAACACAACATGGAGAGAAACACAGAATGACTAATGAGACAATAAGAGTGAATGGAGAGCCAAAAACAACCACATGAAAATGAACATAGGAAAAATATCATTCACAACACAATCGTTTTCAGTCTGGCTGTGTCGCTCTTATGAAGGAGGGATCAGGAGCCTCTCTCATACCTGTACCCACCGACTCATTGACTCATGTCTGGTAGAGTGTGATCTTTGAGTCCTTGTTATATTTAAAAGTAGACGAATGTTGCACATCATACATTCAGTTTGTGACACTATTTTTCCAGCCCAAGACTTAAATTAGGTGTAAAAGCTAATTCATGACCCGACTTTAATTACACATACAAACATATCTCCCAGTTTATGTGGAAACTATGAGGTTTACGTCACTTTTCTAACGGTACGGTGCTAATTTTAGAAAAGATCTCATTTGTTTACACTTCAACAATGCGCTCACACACACACACACACACACA